TAACTCAACTCTGTTCAGGGACTCGCTTCCTCCTACGGTGCTTGACAGAGTAACCGTGGAAGCTTTCATGTCAGAACTTTCAGCTTTTTTCGAATTTCCTTCAAGTTCAACCGCTTCTTTGGCAACTTTGGCTGTGAAGATGAACTGGATCGCGCTAAAAGGAGAAATGTGATACGTTATTATTCATCTTTAGCTGTGCTAAAAACTTTGTAAATGAGACTTCGAGAGTGTAGGTTTCTTTCACAGAGAGAAGAGAAGAAGAAACAAAGGGAGAAGAAAAATGAGACGAACGGGAATAAGAAGATGTAAGAAAAGAAAAGCGAGAGAAAAGAGAAAATACACACATATTTATAACGAGAGAGAGAGAGAGAGAGAGAAAGATATACATATATACTGTATTATATATATATACATTGCTCAAACCACTTTCGAAACGGAACATATAACAAACCCAAAAAAACGCGCAAACATGACATTAAAACACCGCAAAATCCTCCCACAACTCACACGAAGCACACCATGATCAGCACATTGACTCCGGCGGCGAAGAAGAACTGCGCTGCCGGGAAAGCCTCCACAGTTCTGTAGTAAATCGGGGGCATAGGCGGCATACCCGGCCATGGGCATCAGGCCGTAGAGGGCAGCCAGGACCGCGCTGATGCGACCTGTGGGTGATGTTGCAGTTTCAGGCTTAGGAAAAGGACATCTGTGTTGTCGGTTCTTTCTTTGCAATGGTGTTCTCGGATGAGAAATCATTGTAGTGAAGACACATATATAGGTTTGTTGGATATATATATATATATATATATATATATATATTTTATTTATATGTATGTATATATGTATATATATATATATATGTGTGTGTGTGTGTGTTGTGTGTGTGTGTGTGTGTGTGTGTGGTGTTGTGTGTGTGTGTGCGTGTGGCTGTGTGTGTGTGTGTGTGTGTGTATAAATAAGTATATATATATGCACACACACACGCATAGACACACATATATACACATGTGTCTATTTACCTCTCCTTAACTTGAGGCATACCAATATAACATCATTTAGTACAAGAATCAACAGACTACATAACGCTAACCATCCATAATGGGTCGGGTTTTTAAACAAAGCCAAATGCACAGGCGTTCTACACAAATGCAAAAATCTGAAGCACAACTTCCACCAGAAAGCAAAGACAAACCCAATTTCAAATTCAATTTCACTAAAAAAAAAAAAAAAAAAAAAAACAGATCCTTAAAAAAATATTTGTTCATTTCTCATTTTTCAACATTTTTTTTTCACTAACGGCCCCACCCTTCTCCTCCGCGTCAACCAGCTTGGTCGACATGGAGCGGAAGGCGATGACGCTGCCGTTGGACAGGACCCCGACGGGCGGGACCGAGCCACATGAGCGCTCCCTGGCGGGCGTTGGAGACGAAGCCGTAGCAGCCGTACTCGCCCACGATGGACGCGGAGCCGAGGACCACCAGGAGCGAGTCGCGGAGGGACACGAGGCGGGTCAGCAGAGGCACCAGGAACAGGGAGCCTGAAGGGGGACGACAGGCAGCGGTCGTGTCTTGTTTGGCTTTTTGATTACATTCATATATGTATATATATATATATATATATATATATATATATATATATATATACACACACACACACACACACACACAACACACACACACACACACGCACACACACACACACACACGCACACACACACACACACACGCACACACACACACACACACGCACACACACACACACACACACACACACACACACACACACACACACACATACACACACACACACACACACACACACACACACACACACACACCACATATATATATACATATATATATATATATATATATATATATATATACATATATATATATATATATATATATATATATATATATATATATATATATATATATATATACATACACATTTATGTATGTATATATATATACATATATAAATATATATATATATATTATATATATATATATATATATATATATATATATATATTACATATACACACATTTATGTATGTATATATATATATATGTATATATATATATATATATATATATATATATATATATATATATATATATATATATATATATATATTGACACTGTAGCTAATCATCCTCGGTAATACTGCAACCGATATTACCAACATGAAAGACAACATTGGGATAACTTACCTGCTGCAGCGATCAGGTTGCGGTATGTGAGGTAATACCCAAAATCCGTAGCATCCCATTGTAGTGTTCTTCTTACAAACAAGTACACATAGAAGCCTGAAAAGAGATTTTATCTGATATACCTTAAAGTCCATGTATGAATATGTCCTTTTTAGAAATTTTAGAAATTTTAGAAATACATTTTTTTCTATTATATTTCATATATTTAGTCTATGTATATTTTAGTCTATATATTATTTTCTATACTACCCTGATCCATATCCTCTTTGTTTGTTGTTGTT